AATCAACTAAAGACGCTCTACGAAATATACTATAGGTACACGGGACTTTTGAATTAACACATTCAAACGTCGCGTTACTGTAGTATTTATTAAATTATGAAACAATTGTGCAAAATATAATTTCCGTAACTTATAATGATATTCAAACGTGTTTTTTTTTCAGTTACTTTCGAGCATAAAAGTGGTATCTTACAAAAATGTACGATCATTTTCAAATAATAATAATAAAATACAATTATATAGTTACATCGTTATTATTTATACATTATACATAATATTTTGTACGTTTATGAAATATTAAAAAATGTTGGCATTTACAAAATAAATTGAATGATAATAGTATGTGGACTTTATTCATAAAATATGAACAGTGCATGGAGGTGTTGTTAAGACGTTTTTTTTTGTTTTAGCGATTATACATTCAAGATAAATTTCGGGCTTGTTCTCAGCCGAATACCGATTGTTACCAGAGTATACATTATGTAGTTCAAAGCCGGACCCGATAACAAACGTATTTGAGTTCACTTTTTTGTATACCTACATCGGCAATTCATATGTTTTTTATCGTGCGTCAATGATCGCGTATTCCATCAGCTAGTGACGGTGTTGCGATGTATAAACAATTAATTTTTATGACGTGAGTATACTGCGGACGACCTACCCGCGTCCGTTGTATGGGATTGTAATAAATAATAATAAATGTATACTTTATGGGCTGTGTCGGTCGGTCGCGGGTTTCCAGACATCTGCAGCAGCAATAGCAGCTTGACCGATCGGTTGAAAAAAAAAACGGTGTTGATGGGCTTCTGCGCACCGTTCTTTACAATAATAACAATAATAGTAATAATTCCGTTCAGACCTCCCCGTATGATATCCTACACACAAAATGCATGCACGCAGAACAATATTCAAGTATAATAATATTATTGCCTCATCTGCAACCACCTCCGTTGCGGTGTAGGTTAGACACTACATAGCAGCGAGTTTGTGTGCGTCGTTTAAGACGACTGCTTCTTTTTTTTTTTTTTTTCGATTATATTTTTATTGCGTTTTTGTCCATGCACATAACTACTGCACTGCTCGTAGTTTAATAATACAGGTGGTACCTATATATACCTGGTATGGTATTATATATTTTTCATACCGTGCACGCTCGTAGTCGTGTTCTTTTCATCTGCAGCACGAGTACACTATTATAACAGTCAGTTTGCACCGCGTCAATTAAAAATAGATTATTACGAGTATACTATTGTACATATTATAATTAAATATCATCACTAATTTGCACCGCCGAAATTTTTAGCATGTTGGCTAATTACATTTTCCAAAATTTGTCATGGATGATCACGAACACTTCAAATGAAGGTTTTGCAAGGAATTCTAAAAATAATTTTGATTAATGTATGGTATATTATTTACGAGTTTGTCATATCATTACACTATAGTAAAGAATGACGTATATATGATAACACCATAACAGCTGATAGCAAGTACAACAAAGTTTACGAATTTCAGATTGACCGCTTGCAGCCTATAAAGGTGCAAGTCCATGTCAAAAAAATAATATTGCCTTGAGTGTTAGTGTAAAAAATGAAAGTCATTGAAAGCATAAACATATTATTACTTTACAAAATATTGTCTCTGAAAGCTCAACAAACAATAATCGTAAACTATTTATCACGCAATAAAATACAGAATAGGTAGCAAATCACATAAATTTCAATTATTCGGATTTGGATTATCGAGACACTTGCCCGGGGAACATTTACGATATAATATTATTATATCGAGGGCCGAATTGGGGAACCGGACAATGTGCTAGGAGTAACGCCTGGTCCTCGTGTCTACACAATAGTCGACAAACACGTGTCAAATACATCGGAAATTTCTAACAATACTCCGTAATTTCACACTGCCAAGTCCGCAAGTGGTAAGTTAATAATTGTGTCGGTCAAAACTATGAAAAAAAACAAAACAATAACAATGAGATTAAATTTTTTTCCAAATTGAATTACACGACGTGATTTTACTGCGTTTATTTGTTCGCGGTGCAATCGATGGATAATTTATTCGAACCTTTTGAAATGAGATTTTCTGCGTATCACAATAATTACAACAATATAATCGTCTATACTTAACTATATAACGTTCGTTGTTTGCAGTCAACGCACAAACAATTAAATTGATTAACAATTGTTAGGTATTATATTATTCGTATTGTACATAATATAGCGTGGAAGTTGATCAAAAACTTCAGCAAACTTGATGGTCATCCTTAAAAACAATACTTCAAATAAAGACATTTCGTTGAATTGGATAATAATGTTTTTTTTCTCACTATAAAATACTCTTTTTTCGCATGATAAATACAATCAAAAATGTCTTCAAGTATCTTCAGTCTATGCTTAAACAGTTTCAATAATAGTTACTAACTATTTGAGTCGCATGTACTTTAATATTTTAAAGTATAATAGAATTGCTAAAATATAAAATTGTTTTCTTCCTCAATTATTAGACGGTAAGCACTAACAATTTCAGTAGCATATAGAACATAGGTAAATAATTGACAATCAAAAGTACCCATTTTCAGCATTTAAGGTATTCAAATTAAAAATCATATTAATCATTAACCACAGAATAGTTTTTAAATTTCAGGGAAAACATTTCAGCTTCGACACAATTATTAAAGTAGGTGGGACAGGTCCCTTATCAAAACGATTATTTCATCACAAGCCCCACATAATTTCATAATTTCAAAAAAAAATACAATACATTTTTCAAAAATGTTGTTTTAACGACTATAGAAATAATGTAAGCGTTTTTTGCTCAATAAATAATGAGTATGGTTCATGACAAAGGAATCACCTGCAGGTATACAGAAATTATTATTTTACGCCGCTGTCTGATTTCTCGTTTTGACATCAGTTCCCCGAGCCGGCTGGAACCCGCACCTCTAGAAGTCTCGTGAAATATCCCGACTGTTACCCAAATATAATTTATATTTATAGACGTATAATGCGCATAATATAATGTGATGTAATATGTTGTTTTTTCGTCAGCGGGGCAGCAGCCAATAATTTCTTGTCGCACTTTCCACCTCCCCCCCCCCCTTCTAAGGGTTCTCTATACGCGACGCGCGCGCCCTTGAGACAAACCGTTTGCACCCTATATGCCCCGTACAACGTTTTCAGACAACAATGTCGTTGTTATATTATTATGTTTTTCGGCTTCGTCAGCGCTGCAGACAAACGCACAAAATATACAATGCTTAAAGGTCAAGCTCATTTGTCGGTTTGCGCCCTCCGAATGTGATTTTTATAAGACTCGATGAGTATTATGGTCAAGGCCGCATTTAGGATGGTCCAAACGAGCCATTTGCCCCGGGTGGTAATTTTTTTTCTGAAACTAGTATTGAAAAATTTCAATTCAATTGCTTTTTTTTTTTTTAAACGAACTAAACACTATGTTAATTATTATAAACTCATGACTTATACGCATTGTACATACCTACTTCGAAATGTACATTACAAAATAAATAGATTAAGGCGTGGCGGCGAAAAAAATTGCCTCCAGGCGAAAATATTGTAAAGTTGTGTGGCCCCACTGATTATGGACCTGCAGGTATAAGGATCTGCAGTACATATTTATAATAATAATAACTATTGTAAATAGTAATCGAAGTGTATGCTTACATATAAAACTGCTAAGTACAGATAGGTACTTACACCCTGCAAAATAAACAAATCAGTAATTGTGTGCTGCTTGTTTATTTAGATTCTATTATGGCAGTACTCTCAAAAGTGTGGTCCGCAACAAACATTTATTCCACCAACAATTTTGAAAAAAAAATTAAGAATTTCTTAACAAAAAATCGATGTGTACATTTTTGTAATACCTAGCTAAGTAGTACCAATTAAACACAATTATATCATACTGATTAAAATCAACGAAAGAAATACATGTTGTCATCATTTATTTTAGATCTAATATCTAAAGTATATTATAAATGAGTAGTGATGAGACAAGAGAATATTCTTTTAAGAATATTCTCTTGCACATTATTACCGGGTAGGTAATTTTCTTTGTTTTTCTTTTTAGTGTCGTAGTGATGTGATTATGTTTGAAGGTTAATCCTATTGATAATTAATTTTACATTATTTATTAAAAAGACATTGCATAATTGAACAAGAAATTATATTTTTGGTTTACTATGAAAATATATTGAATTAAGTATTATTCTAGTGATCTATAATATAGTAGTACCGATAAGTAGGTATACTGTTTACTATATACAACATATAATTATTTAAACAATGTTTCTGATGTGAAGTTCTGGACTGTGGTAAGGTTTTACTCTCTTTTCTATGGGCTCGATCAATGAATTATTGAAGAAAAAGAAAATGACCTAATATTCTCCAGCTTGAGAATATTCTCTCCAAAGATAATTCCGGTAATTTTACATCACTACAAATGAGTAAGAAAAAGGTTGTTTTGTCTGCAAACCTTTTGACGGATATGGTCTGGTGGTAATTTTGATGGGCAAACGTAAATTGCGCCCAACGAAAGGAAATAGTTGTAAATTGCGCCCGCTATTTTTCAGGTATAAATTTTTGTGTAGTAAATTGCGCCCGGTATTTTTCAGGTACACATTTTTGTGTAGTAAATTGCGCCCGGTATTTATCAGGTACAAATTTGCGCCCTATAGAAGTATTATTTTTATGATTGTCATTTAGCATTACCCAGAGGACACCACGAGGAGGCGACTATCACTGTCCTCCAAAAATGTTTTTTTTTGGTTTACTTGAAATGAGTAAATTAAAAAAAAAAAAATAGGAATTAATAAAAATAGGAAAATTATTTTTTTTTTTTTAAATATTACGGTATTAATTATAGTTGATAAAATATTTTTTTTTTGGTTAAAAATGTTAATAATTATAATTATAATTGATAAAATATTTTTTTTTTGGTTAAAAATGTTAATAATAATAATAATAAAAAAGTTATAATAAGTTATCTGCATAGTAATGCGACATCATCTTCACGTATTCAGCCCTCGTAATAGTTTTTTCATTGTATTGTTGAACAATTTTTTCCATTTTTTTAAATTTTTTTTTTGATTTAGTGTTTTGAAATTTATAAGGTTCATTTATACTATTCATTTTTACATAAATTTCTGATTGTATCTCTAATATTTTATCCATAAAATTATATATATGAGGATGAGGTGTATAAAAGCTTTTGTTAAAATGACTGTGGAAAGATTCACAGGCATTAGTTGACCGAGTTAATGTTGCGGAAGCTGATGCCCAAATATTCGGAGGAAAGTCAGCGAATAAAATATATGTATTTAAAATATAGCAAGAAAATTGTCTAAGTCGATCATCTTCAGGCATTGTAGGCATTAATTCATAATTGAAATAATCGCAAACATTTTCTGGCTCTAAAAATACCATTCCAAACACATGTAATAACCATTCTCTAATAATAGATCCGTTTGATTTATACTCTGAACTTAAACCAACTTTTTGAATTCGTCTCCACCAGGCCTGTGTTAAGTGAAATCGACATCCTATAATTACGACTTCAGGCCAAACGTTTAGGCAAGCAAAATGAATAGCTTTTTCAAAGTCAATAACCATAGATTTGGGTTTCAAAATATACCCGTTTTCAGTACATTTTTCGTTCAATGTTTGAAAAAATTTTTTATAAGTGTTAGTAGATTTATTTTTCAATAAACCAAACACCAATGGTATATAGTGCCCGTTAAAATATCCATGAACACTAAATAGTTGAAGGAAGTGTTTGGCACAATACTCAAATGTACCATCTACATATAACATTTCTGATTTACACAATATTTCTAAATTTGATTTACAACATATGATTACGAGTTCACTATTAAAATCATTATACAGAAGCATATCCTCTCCTTTCGAGCTTTTGTATTGCATAGAGTTTAAAGCTTCCTGAACAGATTGAGTTGAAATTGGTAATGGAGGTAGTAACTTTCTTCTTGCATTATACATATTTCTTTTAATATATTTAACATCACTAACCTTGATTAAGCTCGTATCTTGAACTGTTGCTATGCTATGAAGTATTTTCGCTGGTCTTTCACAGATATCTTCGGTTGCTTTTCGCTTTGCACTAGCGGACACAATTTGTCGTTGTAATTTTAATAAATCTATTTTATGACGGTGTTCCACATTTTTTTCAGTTATTGTCATATTATTTTTTTCTCCAACAGTTTTCAAAAATGCATTACACGTTTTTACAGCACATCGCCACTTTGTTTCGCCCGAAGACAACTCGCGTTTTAATTTCGAAAATTTAAATGTTTGGTATATTATAACGTCGTTTTCTTTCTGGCTTTCAGTATGTATAATATCCATGTTTAACTGTTGCGTGCAAACGGCTTACTAAAATATTACCTATACGGGCTGTACGTAAAGTCGTTGTATACGCGTAAAGGCATTGATATCGCTAATATCATATCGATTATAGCGATAAACGTTCGGCTTATCCACCAATAAATGAACAACAGTATTTTTAAAATACACATAATAGGTAACGATGAATTCAAGATAGTAGATACTATGGGCGCAATTTACTATACCCATTTTAGACCCCGAAAAATCCCGGGCGCAATTTACTATAGTATTTTTACTACCTATTTAATGTGGGCGCAATTTACAAACGCCCATTTTGATTTGAAAAAACTACAGCTCTAACGCAATTTGCCTATTTCACAGGTTTGCGTCTACTTATTCTTCTTGTTATGTTATTTGTATTATACAGTAGTGCATGTTTGTATTTTATCGTTCACCTATAGTAATATATAATAGTATAATCAGCAATTCGATTTTCACTCATTTATTCTAAGTGCCAATATTTCAATGGCGAATGTGGACAAAAGTTAAGTAGATTCTGAGAGATGTTGACATTAGATCTAATAACAATATGATGCAAATGTTTTTGACGAGGTAGGGTAATATATGATACCCTGCTTAAAACGTCCACTAAGATAATTATCATTGTTCAAAATTAATAAACTTTAATACAAAATAATTGGAACATTTGTAATGAATTTAAATTTGTGCAAAATGCTTACAATTTAACATTTATACCATAGTGTTTTTATTTATTAGCAGGACTCGGAAGTTCTAGCAAATGCATATTTTTCTTGGTTCGTCCTAAAAAAACCAAAGTAGAAACAAATATGTTTCACACTTTCTCTGATGTCATATTACACGAATTTTTAATTTTGCTATTTTTCGCATATTTACGGTTTTTAGGGCTATTTGTGGGTATATTTTCACATCAATTCATATTATAAGAGCTATTTTGCTAATTTGGAGTCATAAATGCTGTTTAATGGCATATTTTTAAAAACTAAATTACCTACCTACCAAACAGCAGACTACGAATTTGTGAACGAAAACAAATTGTTTCATTTTAAGATGGTACGCATCCTAAATAAACGGCCTTAGACTGTTTACAGGAAATGTTCCAGAGCCGGAACAAGTGCCTAGCTCTTAGATACCTACCATCATATTATATGAAAAACATTAAATATCTGTAAAAGTAAAAAAATATGTAAAATTAAATTTCACGTTTAAAAAATTTGTCGAAAATTTTACTTTGCATATTTTCCAATTTTTAGTGCTATTTATAGCGCTTATATATATGTTTTTAAGTACATATTTAAGAGCTGAAAATTATTTTTTTTAGTTCTATAACTTCCGAGCCCTCCATATTGTTTATTTCATATAAACTTCACAATCATAATAAAGTGCGTACTAGGGAGTCTGCTACAACCTTTTCCGCTCCCACGAGATCTTCCGCCGAATTACATAAATACGGTTTTAAAAATATTTCTAGAGAGAACTTCTAGGGATTGGAACCTTGATGATTTTACAGTTCCAGTTCCAGTTCTGTGCCAAGAAAGATTGAATCGTCAATTTCGGTTTTTTTTTTGTTCTTAAAAAATAAAAACTTCGTTTCCTGTTTGTCTTTATACTTACTTAAAAAAAATTTGGTTCCGTTTCGATTCTTTAAAAATGATAAGATATTGGTATGGTCAATTGGTGATCATGATACAGAATCAATAACAATTTTCAACAAGATATCGCAGCAACTGCTTAGGGTTAAGGGAGAAGACTAAATAAATGAAAAATGTTTAAATCATTGCCACTTAATGCACTTCCTCGATTAAAGAAGAAACTAAAATTAATCTTAAAAAACCTTTACATAAAAGTGCACCTTTTACTGCTACCAATAATGTGCAAAATTATGATTTTGTCAAATCTGAAAAAAAGTTTTGCACAAACTTGGAGCGACAGTTGCAACATAATTGGAAAATTTAAGTTTTACACTTGATTCAATGCTAACATCCAATTTACATCTGTTCCAATGCAAACACCAATTTTATATCTGGTTCAATGCAAACACCCATTTTTCATTTATCATTTTCAAAATCTAACACTGAAATCCGAGTAATTTTGAAGAAAGTAAAAATGAATACTAATCCTAAATCTAAATAGTTTTTAAACTAACTCATATAGTACTACAACTTCTGGTTTAAATGTCAATGGAGTTCTTATAAATCAGGAATTCGTAACATTGTTTGCGATTCTCCAGCAAAAAGTTTCTTTGTAAATGTGAAGTCCGGCAATGCTTCTTTGCTATTTTGGGTTAACCTCATGTCTAGGAAAAGGTACATATGTAAGAGAGCCAGAGGAGGGCTATTTTATTTTCAAAATAGATTTAACTTTATGTATTAATTATTTGTAATGTTTTACTTCGGTAAACAAAAGATATACTTATGAACAAGACAAAAAATTGTTTGTTATATTTACTATTGATTTTTTGTAGTACCAAGTTTGGATATGAATTTTGGTACACTTTAGGCAGCAAATGTGTATGTTATAATTAAATACATTTAAAATCACCGGTGCTACACGATGGCGAACCGTTTTTCGAGCGACTTTATCAATTTAAATTTTAAACATTAGTTATACCTAAATTTCAACCCATTCTTGGTTTAATTTTTTAGATGCCTTTGAACCCATATTTCTACCGTAACACCCATCCTCTGCCAAGACACAAGAGTTTTAACGCCACCGCTGCAATGCGTGACAACCTTTACACCAGACACTTTCAACAAGATATTTACCAACATAATCGTTAAACAGACTAATTAACAATCATAAGAATTGGAGGTTGGTAATAGTTATTTGCACCGTTAATTAAAAAAAATCTAAAACAATTTTGTGGTCCAACTTCACTGATCGAGGGGGGAAATATAAAATGGCTTCTACAACTAACGGCTGGCAACCAGCCTATCGTTTGACCCGTGAATTAGTCGTAGTGTGTAGATGTAAGAGTGTTCTAAAATTTTTAATTTTTCCACGAGACATATAATATGGGGTGTTAAAAATTCCTGTTAAAAGGAACACGTCAGAGCACACAGAATTCTCTCGCATAGAGACTCAAAGATTTTTAAGGAGACATTTTAGTGTATAGATTCGTATCGGAACAATTTTGAGTGTTCAAGAAGTTACACGTGCAGTACACAAGCAGTACGTACCGATCCGTATCGGACTTAGCTTCGATAGTGAAATGGTTGAATTGCGTGAAAGCGGCAAACGAGAAGTCGCTGTAGTATCCACTCTGGTCTTAGAGCCTTCGATATACGCACAGTTTCACTAGATAAAATTGTCTTAACTAAAAATTCAAACACACTCGTAGAAGGCGCAAAATCAGTCGGGTTAAAAATAAATCAAGATATAACAAAAGTGATGGAACTACTTCCCAATGGGGAAGAAAATGTGGTAATAAAACTAATGGTAACTTATGGATGTGAAATATGGCCCGCTACTATATAATTAGAAAAAAAGGTGTTAGTTTTTGAAAATAAAATAATAAGGTACATTTTTGGTCCAGTGTTTGATAGCGAGATAAACACAGATGGCGTAGAAGAAAAAATACTGAACTAAGAGAAATAACTGAAATTCCATTGTTAACAAGCCACATTAAGTGTCAAAGACTCAAATGGTTTGGTTATACTATACGGAAAACAGAAACTGCTTGTACACGAGCAGTAATCGAATGGCAACCGACGGGGAAAAAGCCAAGAGGAAGGTCTAGATGGATGTATGGCATAAGGAAGGACTTAAAAATACTTGAAGTGACGGATTGGGAAGATAAGAGTTCAGGATCGTGATTATTGGAGAACGGCGACGGTGGTGGCCAAAATTCTTAAAGAACTATAAAGCCAAAAGAGAGAGAGACAAAAATACAATATAGGTACGATAAATAATACCAATTAGTAATCAGTAAAAGACTAAAAAATCGTTGATGTGTCGGTTGCATGTTCTTTCGTGTAGTTTTTGTATCTATACCTACCAGCTACCATGGTAAAGTGTTCGCAAACGTATTTTCGAAAATGTGCAGTCGATGGGGACTTATTTTCAATGATGATCCCTCCAAAATCACGTACTGACGTACTGACGATATATACCTCATAATATTATACATAGGCAATGGCAGCCAATTTTTGCATGCTAGACACGTGTATGAAGAATTAGACTGATTTAGAGTCGAAAATAGTTTATTAATTATTATCTTTTCAATTAAAAAAAATCGTTAAAATGCAGTCTAAAAATAAAATTTTTTTGTAAACATATAACCTCCGTAAAATCAACTATAAAAATAAAGGATAACTAAAAACATTTAGTTGATAAATTTATAAAAAATATTAGTAACAAATCGCAGCCTTATAGTTTCCATGGGCTTGTATGTACTTTTTGTACCTATGCTAGCTTTAGCACCTTAATACCTTAGTAAAAGTGTTCGCAATCGTGTTTTGCCCAAAATATCATGTCGACGTGCTAACAAAATATTGTACATAAGATGTATCAAGATTGACCAAAAAAGACATTTTAAAAGTTTTTTCTTAATATATGCAGGTATTACGTATCTATATTATTATTTTTCATTATATTGTAGATGATGGCAGCCGATGCTCACATGTCAAAAACGTACATAAAGGTAGCTGCTGCATTCAAATCTTTGGCGATCCATTTATTTTCCGAGATAACTTCCAGTTGGTAATTGCACCTAAGTATGAAGGAAACACGTTCGAAAAAGACCTTGTACACAAATAAATAAACAAGACACATTGTTCATATACGATTATTATACTATTCTTTATTACACATAAAACGTTCACTTACACGATAATAATATATATTATAATTTCAATAGTGTTACACTCGAGTAAAACGGTTTAAATATGTACAAATCACACGAGATATATATATATGTAGGTACGACAGAAAATTCAAACAAATACATATTACAATAATTATTATTATTATTTTTAACTTTTTTTTTTGTTAAATATTAAATATAATAATAAATTTAATAGCGAGATATATGATTTAATAGAAAATATCTAATAATTATAATAATATAATATAATATTTTACATAGACGTATCGACCAACGTAAGGTAAATAATTAAATAAATAAAAAAAAATTCTAACGGTATTTACAGCGTACGTATAAATAATAACACGCATAACACATTTCGCGACAGCCATCTGTAGAGCGAAATGCATAATAATAATAATAATAATAAGAAACATCTTTGGTTACCTAGTTTTTATTAATCCATTACACCTATCCATCTATCTATCTATATATCTAATATATAATGTATATTATTCGTTTTAGGTATATTATATTATACAATTTTAATATATTTAGGTATGTGTGTGCATGAGTGGATACTTGATTGAATAAGCCAATAGACACGAATTCAAAAATGTTTTTTTTTTTTTGTTAATGTGTAAAAGGAAAGCAAAATCCAAGTGTGTATATATCAATGACGATGAATCATTAATAAATAATAATAGTTTTTGCTTTTTAGTTTGTTTTGATTACTTGATTACTCGTACGCACTACCGCGCTGGTTAGCAGGGTGAGATATATAGATATAGAAATTAATGTATTTTTTCGTAAAGACACCTACATCACTGCGATACACACTTATCTAGTAGCTTAAGCAGTGGAGCAATTATCGGGAGTGTTGGGCTTGAAATTCACAAGGGTCGCCGGTTTGGGGGGGGGGGGGGGGGCGAGATTTCGCATACGATATTCCTACTATCATCTGTTATAGGTATACAGATATGGTATAATTTGTTTTAATATGTATGACAATAAATAATAGTGTCTTTACTCTTTTGAATTTAGAGAATTCGAATTACTATAGTAGGTACCTGTGTGAGAAACCTGTGGACCATATACCTGTATACTGTTAGGTACCGGAATGCGGGTATAAAGTATAGACTATAGTAAAGTGAAACTGAATAGAACACATAAAAGATTTGTGAATATTTATCTCAGAAAATGATTTTAGCACTTCATACGATGATGTATTAGGCGCGAGTCTAATTTATTTAACTTTACCCGTAACAGTTGCTTCGGCAGAGAGATCCTTCTCAAAATTAAATTTAATAAAGAATTACCTGCAAAACACAATTAGACAAGATCGCCTTTCCAACATCAGTATATTGAACATTGATAAAGAAGAGACAGTCGAATTGGATACAAACAGAATAATTAATCACATAGCTACCGTGAAAAAAGAAGATTACATTTTTATGTTTGATTTTATAAAAAAATATGTATGACTAATAATTATTAACTATTACATGTGAGAAAATAATATTTTTTAAAGTTATCATAAGGTGTAACTGTTTTTCTTTTTTATTAGTAGATAAGTGCCCCAGTCGGGAAACGTTCACATGGGCCATTTATTATCAAAAATTGCACCATTGAGTATAAGCTTTATGTAATAAATACATAATAAATGGATAATTACGACTTTACGCATGTCGTGGACACATAACTAAGTACGCGAAGAGATAATAATATGTACCAAAAAAGCTTTTTATAATTTTTTTTGGCAAACCGAAGAATATATATATCATAATATATAATAATAATATACAACTGGAAAAAACGAAAAAAAAACACGACGAAGTAATACTATAATAATATATTGCACATAAATCTCGCGCACCTCACACGGTATACCGCGGTAGTGGTGGGGGACGGGGGGAGTGTGGTGATTTTCGATCCCCAGGTATTTTGCTTTATTTGAACGTAAACTGCAGTAAAGGGTGTTTTGAAAACGAAAAAAACGAGAAAACCGACTTTTGAAGGTGCGTGATACTGCAGTCGTCTGGAGAGGAAAAACAGGTGGTCAAAACGGCTGAAGACCCGGCAATGCAGCTAAAATACCGAAACCCGGTTTGAACCAAAAAACCGCACCGTTTTGACTACCCGATGGGAGAAGTTATACTTATCCGCGGTGTCACAAACCTAAACAATACACCCCAAAATACATGAGCTACGGTTAGCTACAGAGTACCAACATTGGTAAGAGGTAAGCGGTAATACAGAATACATATTATTATTATCATAATTAAGTAGTAGGTAATAGTGTGTGTATAGTAATAGTAGTAGTAATATAGGGACTAAGTAGTATTAAATACTAATAAGTATAATATATATATAACATTATTATAATAATATAATATAATATAATAGTGGCGTCCGTGGATATAATTAATATTATGTATAAAATGATACAATACATATTTACAAAACGGGTGAGGACGATGAGGAGGGGTTAGGGGATGATGGGGGGGGGGGAAATTTGTACAGAAAAACACGCTCAGGACGAGCGGAACGGATTACGATTCGTCGGCCTTGACGGCGTCGAACGGAGAGTACCTGGCGGCAGACGGCGAACGGCGCTTTTGGTACTTGGTGGCCGACCTGCCGTCCACGTCTGGCGACGGCAGTGACTCGGCCGACGACGAACCACCGGCGCCGGGTGGCGTTCGCGCGGGACTGTACGCCCGGTGGTGATGGTGATGCTGTTGCTGGTGCAGACCGGCGCCGTGGTGGTGATGGTGATGGACCACGGCCGCGGCGGTGGACGACGACGGCGACGACGACGAAGTGGACGACGTGGACGGCTGCGGCTGTTGTTGGAGAGGCGGCGGCGGCGGCTGAAGCGACGGTTGCGGAGGCGATTGAGGCGGGCCTGCCGCGGTGGACGACGAGGCCGTGGGCTGTTGCTGTTGTGGCGGTTGCGGAGGCTGAAAAGCGGCGGCAGCCGACACGTACCTCGGGTATTGCGACTGCGGCGGCCACGTGAACATGGACGACGGGTGCGGCGGGGGTGGCGGTCCCGGATACGACGACGCCGCGGCCGCTGCTGCTGCCGCAGCGGCGGCAAAACGCGACTGCGACTGTTGGAAGTGGTTGCCGTACACTATGAGCGAGTGCATGCCGGCCGCAGCGGCCGCTGCGGCTGCGGCTGAGTGCTGATAGTGCTGGGCAGCCGGACCACCGGCGCCACCGCTGCCGTCGCCGCCGGACTGGGTCCTGCCACCGCCGGACGCCGCGGCCGCAGCAGCCGCGTTGTTCAACATGTGAAACTGCGCTCGGGCAGCGGCCGCGGCGGCCATCATGAATCCCGAATTGCCACCTCCGTTGCTCTGATCTTGCTGTTGCTGTTGCTGCTGCTGATGCTGCTGTTGCTGGTGGAGGTGGTGCTGCTGCTGCAACTGATGTTGTTGCTGGTTCAGCTGGTGCTGGTGGTGCTGTTCCATCGCTGACTGCTGCCCGGGGTGGACGCCACCGTCCTGAGACGAGGGCCAGAACATGGGCGTGGCCGCCCGGCTGAGCAAGTGCTGATTGTACTGGTGTTCCAGGAACATCAAGTCCACCGGGTCTCTGCAAAACGAAATGGACAACATGTGGTTATTATAAGCTTGTCACGTTATTCACTGCGAAATTCAAGTTTCGTTGTTTGTTTATCGTGTGATAAGAAATCATGTGCATTATATCATTAGCAGCTAATGTGCGATATTTATGAGATATATTATTTTAACCATACAAAAACTTATCTTCTAGTCAGTTCAAAGCGTTATCCCTAATTTTATATCATATGGTGTCTTAAGATAGACGTTCCAAATGATCCGCACGTGTGTGGTCATTTTCGACGGATTTATAACACGAAGACTACACAATACGTACGTATTACAGACTAGAGTATCTACGTGTGAGGATTCTCCAAATTAATTACTACACATTTGTGACATAATATATAATATCATCAATTAAAATGAGGTATTTGAGGGCGTACCTATCCTTTTCGTCAAAATAAACTATCGAAATCAATTCGATTACTTATTATTGGATCATCATTGAACGTACTTCTTGATTTTTTACGAAAAAAATTTCATCGTTACGAAAATAGTGTAGACAAAACCCAGGATTTGTGCTGTGCGACACACACACTTTCTGTTTCTCATTCACACACAGACACAGGAAAAGACCTAACGGTGGTTGGCGAATATACAATCGGTATGAAGATAAAATATTAGGATATGCAGTACCTAATCCACAAACTGATTTTCGGGGGGCGTGTAGGACGTCATCGCAATCAATGCACCCTTGGTGTAAAAATATAGCAGCGCATCCACGGCGGTGCACACACATCATTATTAAAACATCACAGCCATATTATTATTAGGATTGTGACTCGTTGCGAGAGGGAAGCTCATTATTGTTATACACGCATACGCAGGATCACGCGAATAAGCTGCGTTCGGCGTTGTCTCGTGGTGTGTGTCAATTATTTATCGTAGTCCTAAAACGGGGTGTCGGGCTGGGCTGCACGTGTCAATTTGTCGACTATATATCGTTAGCCGAACCGATAACAACACGTGTAGATAAATTAATATATTGTCGGGTTACAAATCCGCCGGAAGACGCCGTCCGCGATGATGTTGATGATAACAACATGAAGTGACGCCACAAATCGCGTGTATCAATATAATCGTAACTATCCCCTATTTCGGAACGCCATTCCAACTAGGTACTATTGGTTCGGATATTAATGAAACTAATGAGTTCTGAATTGTGAATATAAGTATAATATTACACGGGTAGTTACTTTTATGTGAAAAATAAAGAGACCGCGAGAACATTTGCAGGGCGGTTTTTGAAGACCATGTCTCATTTGTTTTTATATAAATGTATATAAAAACGTATTCACATGAGAGAATTATTATATCCCGAAACGAAAAATTAAACAATATATTTACCAAATTTAAACTGAAAAACTCAAGAGTAAAGAAATATGGCAAAATTCGAATATACCTAGTCAGGTCCCTAACGCCCTCGCCAAAATGGTATAAACTAAGGATCCGGGGAAAAGTTGCAGTGAAAGCTGTCTGCACCTGCGGATCGGAATAAAATGTCGGTGTCGTACCGCTTCTGCAGACATAATATATAGATATATAATATTATATTAGGTATATTAAACGCGGTCGGTCTGTTCGTCAAACGGTTTGAAAAAAAATTTCGTCGCTCCCCTCGCGGGCGTAAATAGGCCACGTATTATTATAATTTATTATTATTATTACAACGCGCGCGCCGCCGCCGCGCCGAACCGGTCGACGGAGGCGCGTGAAAACCGAGGCCGGTCATGATCCATTAGCGGTTGTTATAACAACGTGCCGATGGATTTCGTCACACACACATACACAAGCTGCGCCGCCGGCGGACCGCGGGAGCTTAATAATAAAAAAAATATTAATAATAATAAAGAAAAAAACGAAAAATATAATAATATAACGTCAAACGCGGTCTGGCCGGCGTGTTATTAAAATATTATTATTATTGTACGTGTCGGAGAGGTGCGAAGAAATTTCCAGCCGACGACGCGTCTACATAGGTTTTTGTGTGTATAATTTACGCGGTGGACGTGTTAAACACTGTACACGATAATAATATTAATAATAATATTCCGGCGGAAGAAGTGTACTGAGAGCGAGAGAGGATTATAAATATTGTTGTGCGGAGAGAAAAAACACGAAAAATTATACACGATCATAATAATTAGAAGCCGACGGCGATTTTCCGTTTGCCGCGGTCAAATTACCGGTTTTAATAACATAATATAATAACGATTTCGCCCCCACCATATCTCTCGTGATACCAATCGGCGGCCACTCGGACATCCGAAACAATAGGTCCGTCGATTAATTATTATTAACACTCCGCGATGATGCGCACCGTTCTCACAATTTTTTTCCACTCTCCTCCGCACAGTTTACGCCTACAGTGCGCATAATCAAACCGACCGCCGCCCGCGGCCTCCGGCTAAATTTTGAAAAAACCGCTTTGAAAAACACACGCACGCCGACTACCGCAGAATTCTCGATCATTTTGACGGCTGAAGGGTGCCACACTGTCTTATTTAATTAGCAGCGTTGACGAATTTACCGATAATACGTATTGGAGTACAGCTGCCCCAATTCCTAGACAGAGAAATTCCGTCAGGGGGAGGGTAGAGATTGGCCAACATTATTTCTCGTTTCTCGCCATTTCCCGTTTAAGATCGTCATTATTTCCTGATTTTTAAATGTATTTCAAAACTGTTAATCTCATCTGTATCGGACGAACTACGAAATTAATTTTTGTCCCATACTCCATTAAAATGTATATGTTATATATTTAAATTTTAGATGCTTGTAATCCGTTAAATTGGAGTCGTATAACTTACGGGCTTGCACGAAAGAGGCCTTTTTTCTACATATTAATCGAAATCAGAGATTCTCTGAGTATAAGTTCAAAGCACAAAAACAGTTTTAATGCACACTCTGTTTGAATATTATAACAACAATAATTATTGTCTAATAATGAAGTTATAGAACGGGTTTCAAAGAAAATTAGCACAATAATTATATAAAAATAATATTTTGTTTTAATTAACACCTGAAACTATTTTACACGTCTTAATACCGTATGTTACCAACTTAAATGTGTATACGCTGCAGCTTGTTTCAATTTTTACACGGGCAGTTGTTTTTATTTAACACATGTTTTCTTCGAACATAACTATAAGGCTATTCGTTATTAATACGGGTTAAAAGTGTTGTTAACACGATAAACTGTGAGTACGACTAAATATTAGTAATAAACCTATATAGTAAAACATCCCCCAGACCATTAAGACAGTTGGTTCAAAGAATTAAGAAACAGCACTTCATTATAATATTTTAATAATCGTGAACGCGTAAAAAGCCTAATAGAAAAATGTTAACCCACCGCCTAGACAACAAAAATTAAAAATTATAATTTGACTGAAGTTCCAGGGCACACATCCAACTTTGATGGTAAAACAGTGAAAATGCAGACTAGATGGCTGATGAACATTGTAAACAGGTGAGATTTATAGTAACATTATATTCGTCTGTGAAGGGATATTTTCATTTTTCATAAGTCCAAAAGGCAGAGGTTTCCGGGATTGCGATGCAAAGGGAAGGGTTTCACCGTAAAACGTAATAAATAATAATAATTATTCTTCTATTATTATTATTATCAATATGTACGGACCGGGTATATGTATAATATGCGGACGTAATCGTTTTTATAAGCGGTTGGTATGCGGTAGGTACATACTTATACAGTAGGTACCTACCGCCTACTGTTATTATGTTATATTGTACAGGTTAAGGTATTGGTATCGATGTGCACACGGCGGTAATAAAATATATATATATCATTACGGACGAATAATACCTATGTTTTATAATGAAATGAATCGTATCCCCCGCGTGGCCGATCGCGACGACGAGAAGCGATAAAACGGACGACGACTCCCGCGTGCAGCAGCTGCAGCTGCAGCGCTTCGGTGAAATACATGATTGCGCACAAATTTCACGAGCACAGTTTAAAAATTATCATGGACTGTATAATATCATTATGTATGGTTATTGGTTTTCATTTAATCACTCGATTCTGTTGAAGTTATAGATACGTCATATCATTAAAGAATTAATTATACTTATAACGAAATCACAATATACACCGCAATCGTGACAAAACGAATCGATCACTATTCGTTTCCACTGGGAAATCGTTGCCACATGCATATACATAAAGTTACGTTGGTCATTGATCGGATATTCCTGTTTGATTAAACTCTTCCGTTTCTACCAATTACTATTTTCATACTTAATATTTCCTACCATCAATATTGTCTATACACAATGTAAAACGTCCTCGGTAGTAGCAGCAGCTCACCGTTGCCTATTTGTTCAAGTTATACGACAAGAGCATTCCGCAATGTGTTTTTTTGATAGGAACAAAGCTAACGACTAGCTCTATGATTAATAATACTATACATGCGTCTATTGTGCGCGGTGCATACATTCGAATTATACGATTTTAAAATTACTACATTTTTATTTATTTATTATGAAATCGTTATTATTTTTATTTGTATACGACAATGGGATGCTATATGTAGGTATGAAACATGAGGTATCTACCAATACATCGTAGGTGCGGTTGTTATTGGGTATAGGTATCTCCCTGTGGTTTATCCCAAGGTTGGCGTATCGTTCGTTCAAAACATGTTTATTTTATCGGTAAAAACAATTAAAAACCATGTGTTTGCGTCGTTAAAATGAAAAACACGAATTTTGCCAACATCGATTTGTCACCCTTCCTTCTTTCCACACACTAACAAAACCACAGACAATCGACTTGCAAAAGAATCTTGTAAAAAAAAAAAAACAATTTATGTATATGTAAACGCGAAGGTACCTATGTATGTATGAAAAAATAAATGTATAAATACTATAAATGTATGTATATATTTAGATTATACAATTCAAAAAATGAAATTTGAGGTAAGTATTTAATGTGTTTGATCACCA